AGACAGAGAATAGAAATACAAAACTTGCTCTCAAACAGAAGGGAGAAAGCTAGAAACTTCAGGCTATCAAGTACTCTTAGCTATTTCTAAAGTCTGTGCTTCATGCATTATTTTCTTATAAAATATGACAGAAGACATTTCAGCTATCATGAACTGTAAAGTGTTTTGTACACTTAGCCCTAGATAGTATGAATTACTGAGCTATACCTAGCAAAGCAGGAGACAGAAAACAGTACATCAGAAAGAGGACACAGCATCATCATGTACAATCTATACCTCTAAAATGTGATTCTACGACTACATGTACAATCTATTCCTCTAAAATGTGATTCTAAGACTACATTAACTAAGCCAAAATAGTAATGAAATGTGATGAAAAAAAACCTCATCTTATCATAACTAGGCATGGTCTGTTTTTCTTTACAATAAGAGAAAACCCAAAATCTGTTCCTTCACTACAAAGCACATGGTTTGTAAAATCTTACGCTAGAAATCCTTTAACATCCCCCGAAGTCCTATTTTCTAGGTCTCATTATCTTGTTCTGCAATCAGTTTGATTAAATTATAGAAAATTACTAATACATCACTCAGATTGGAGAGATCAGCCCCAGCCTGTTCTGTTTGTTTTTCTTTCTCCTATCCTAATTCTCCAGCAGATATTTAAAAACAAAGAATGGAGGAGGACATGGAAACTTCCAATGAGGAAGGCTAAAGGATACATTAACCTAATTTCAGGAATATGATGCCCTTCAGTTTTCCCAAGTGGCATTACTGACCAGTCACAGAAACCAAAGGAGCTTTAATTTATACAGTGTAGCAACGTGGGCTCCACCATCATTTCCCTCATGCCTTGTGCTGTGGTCTGAACATCTGCATCCCCCCAAAACTCATATGTTGAAACTTAATCCCCAGTGTGATTAAGAGGTGTGGCCCTTGGGAAGTGATTAGGTCATGAGGGCAGAACTCTCATGAATGGGATTAGTGCCACCCTTATAAAAGAGACCCAAGGGAACTTGTTCGCCCCCTTCACCATGTGAGGACACAAAGAGAAGGCACCACTGTTGACGCAGAGATCAAGTCCTCACCAGACACCAAATCTGCTGGTGCCTTGATCTTGTACTTCCCAGCCTCCAGAACTGTGAGCAATAAATTAGTATTGTTTTATATATTGCCCAGTCTAAGGTATTTTGTTATAGCAGCCCAAACTAACCAAGACACCTAGTCATTTCTCAGTCCAAAGGTACCAATTTGCAGGTAAGTGACCAGGGTTAGTGATACTGGGTGAGAGTGTTTCTCTTATGTGAAACTTACTCATCGAGACATGATCTGAACCCAAACTACTGGGATTACTAAGTAAACTAGTTTACCAAACCAGCCAGGAACCATACATTTCAAATCCAGCTTTTTCTACATGAACATGTTGACATTAATAGAACTCCTTGTATTTTAAACCAACTTTTGACCCCAAGAGAAGCCTGCCTGTTAACTCCACCCACACATACTCTCTTGGGTGTGTCCACAACTTTTGTCCATTTAATTTTACAAGCCTCATAAGACAGAGATTTTCTACACCTCCCTTGGAACTCTCCTAATAGAGGCCATTCAAAGAGTATAAAATCTCAAATACACAGCAAGCTCTAACACTAGCCGAAAGCTGTCCAATTTATACTTTTCCAGCATGATTTATTAACACTTTGTGCAGAGAGACTTGTCAACTCACACCAGCTGTGTCATCCCCAGAGCGAGATGGCAGCACGCAGATAAATTAAAAATCAATTTTTTTTATTAGAATCTATTGTGAAGCATTAGAAGGAATGTGAGTTTGAGCTATCTTCCTTATTTTAACAGGACAACTCCATGACATCCTACTTATTGTATTAGGAAAACATGGGGAACAGATAGGCACTATGAACTGGCATCAGCCCAGGCTGCTTCTGGATACCTTGGCTGGTTAGCTCTGGCTCGCAGGATCAGTGAAAAATTTTGCTACTTCACACTCAAAATTTTTCCCACTTGGTCCCTGCCATGGTTAGTCAGGAGGTATTGCCTGGTCACTGCAAAAATTAATAAGAATAAATAGGGGGAAAAAATTAAATTTTCTACCAAAAAATTAAATTTTCTCTTTCATCAGACATAAAAAAAGATGTGTAAAATTATAAAATAAGGGAACCTGTTGCTTTTCAGTCATTTTGCTTCCCAATTTTACTAGAAAGCAGGAAAATATTTTTTAAAGTTTTGTTAATGAAGAACGCAATAACCTGTTCTGGTCTTGACCCACTACTGAGTAAACAATGAAAATACTGGAATAATAAAACAATTGTTTTATTAACTTTTCCTTTGTGCTTCCCTCAGGAATAGGCATCAGGCAAATTTCCAATGATAAATATAGTAGGATCTATGAGGAGTCTTCAAAAAGTTCATGGAAAGATTTGTATTATCTTTTAATTCTATTTTTCAACTAACTTTTTAAAGTATCCTCGTTAACTCATACATGTTCATGGGTAAGTTGAAGTAAGGAGGAAATCTTAAAAGTGCTGATCACCAACAGTAAAAGGATTTACAAGATGCAACAGACTCAGGAGAAAGCCCTTCCTTATCCTTTCTCTCTTCAGTTTGTGCTCCCAAATGTAATAATGTTCAGAAAGTGCCTATCCCTGTGCCTGGCGAACAGTCACAGTATCAGTTTCCCTCTCTTCCTCTTTCTTATTCCTTATCCTTTCTCTCTTCAGTTTGTGCTCCCAAATGTAATAATGTTCAGAAAGTGCCTAGCCCTGTGCCTGGCGAACAGTCACAGTATCAGTTTCCCTCTCTTCCTCTTTCTTGGTTGACAAACATTTTTAAGTTATGCAGTTCAGGATTCTGCTAAAGATAAGGTCGTGGTATAGTTCAAAGAACCTCTAGGACATTTTTTTGAACATGGTATTGGAACTCGTTAATAGAAAGAACTTTTGTAAAAGAGCCATCAACATCAGCAGTCATATTTAAATCCCAAAATGATCATTATTGCTCTAGGCCAAGAAATAAAGGCTTTATCTTGAGCAATAATTTTTAAAGCCACCCCTCAACGATAGTGTAGGCTTAACATTCTTTGCTGGGGGTTGCCTCTAAAAGTTAACACAGAACTTCTTTTTGATTTGTGGACAGCAGGATCACCATTCAACTCTTTAGGACTTGTCATTTTTTTCTGCATGTGTATGAGGCCCATATAACAAAAACAGCAAACACAGATACACACACACTCCTACTTCAGAGGCCCAGGAGGAAATGACAGTGTAGAATTTTAAATCAGAAACTTAAGGCTTGGGTCACTAGTGTCAGGTTAAAGGCTCACCCATCTCCAAAGCTAATTCAGTTGTGAACAGTCCCATGGGTGTCTAGCTGAACAGAAGGAGCTAGGAAACCTTAGCAGGCCGAAGCCCAGCCTGGGGAACTGCTGGGACTCCGTGCCAGGGGCTGAGACTCACCCCAGACTTGGTATCAGATAATACCAAGTACTAGTGTGGATTTCCAGGAGTAATCCACTCGAGGTGGAACTTCCAGGTTCCCTGGTATCTGTGCTGTCGAGTGGGAGGACTGTAGGGCTTATAGATCCAGACTGTGCCTGGCTAGTATTACAATTAATAATGAAAAAAATACATTCAACATACCGAAAGAGACTATAAGTAACAATGGTTTATGCTTTAGAAATTTTTAGTCATATTTTGGGGGAGTGCAGAGAGAGGCAAGGAGGGATCTATGAGGAAGTGGAAAGCATTCCAAATTTTCTATAGATTCAGTTTTCACAAGTTCCTTTTTTTGTATTCTAATTTGCACTTCTTAAATGTGTGTTTACAGGTTCTACATATTCTTAAAACAATGTATCAGTGGTGGCTGTTAACCACTTTTGTATTTATTCAGAAGGTCTCTTGGGCTTCAAAAGCAATTTCTCCCCTCTTATTCCCCCTATGACCTCCCTTCCCTACCCTCAAAATTACACAACTCACTCTTTTCTTTTAAATCTGCCCCTAAATAACTTCTTAAAACCCTGGGATGACTTCTATCAGGGGAACTTTAATACCCATACTTAGTATATTTTAACTTTGACACAGAACAGTTCTCCAGGGAAAGAAAAGTCCTTCCCCCACACATAAACAAACAAACAAGCTTTGACACAGAACAGTTCTCCAGGGAAAGAAAAGTCCTTCCCCCACACATAAACAAACAAATAAACATAGCTTAGCATTAAAATTGAGACTTAAGACTACAATTATATTCTACATTAAATACAAATTAACGCTAATTTTTTACCAAAATCAATATTTATTACATCTCCACACCACTCCCAAGTTTCTTCGACTCACTCAGCACTTAGCAAGCCTTGGGTTACTGGGACTGAATTGCAAAATACACCATTTGCCCAGAAATTGCTCCTAGTCCAAATGCAAATTGGTTACAAAACAGGCATAAAGCACGCTTAGAACAGGCAGCACACATCCAAAAAATCCATTCAATGCAAAGGTAAGTGGAAAAGCTTCACAAATTAAGGCTTCGCTTTAAAATCTAAAGGGACATTTAAGGTGCTTGCAAAGGTAAATGCTTCTTACTTCGGTAAAAGTGGCTTTCCGTGCCTGGAAGAGGGAGGTAATTTTTTTTTTTTTTTTTTAAGTGAGTGGATTACAGTATTCAATTAGAGAACAGGGTGGGAGAGCCCACTCTCAAAATATAACTTAATCACCAGGCACCAACGCGCAGAAGGGGCCCACCAAGCACGAGAGCTAAAATGGAGCCTGAATTTCCTCTCAGACGCAGAGGGTAGTTGCACGAGGTCAGGGTCAAGGTCACCAGCAGGGCAGGCTGCAGCTGCCCGACCGCACTACACACAAGGAGAGGCAAGGCGTTCCATCTCCGTCACAGCCGAAACAGATAAATCCCTTCTCCTCTCCCACCCTCCCTCTAACCCCGCCAACATTTTTTTTTTTTAAGCGGAGGGAGAAGAAAGGAAAATGACCAAATAACCTCACCGCCCTGGTTTTCGCACAGCAGCTCATCAGCTCCCAAAGTTGCCATCTAAGGGCAAGTTCGCAGAGAACACTGAAGCCCATTTTGTCCGAGCGGGGCAAGCCTCCCCCGACCGCCCCAGGATTCCTGCCTCCTCTCCCTGCCCCCACACGCCCCCGACAGAGCTGGGAACCGTGGCCGGCCGGCCATGTGCACGCACACGCTCTTCCACCAAGTGCTGCGAGTTTTCTGTGAATCGCAGCGCGGAGCCTCCCAACTCGCCCTCCCCGACTCCACCGCCTTCTCCTCCTCGCACAAAATTTCCCTACACACGCAGCCGCCTGCGAGTGATTTTATGTGCATATATATTACATATGTGATATTATCCTCAGAACCTCTAGCGGGCAGGCGAAGGAAGGACTGCACAGGGGCATTTTTTTTTTTTTTTAAAGGAAGGGAAAAAAAGCACAACCCAAGCCCTGTGCGTCGACTTCAGCATACAGGGAAGGGAAAAGAAAAGAGGAATGTTTGCGGAGCGGACTGCCTGCAAGTGCCCTGGCTCGCCACTTCGGCCGCTGCCCGAGTGACACGGAGCCGCGGGGGCGCCCGGCCGGAGCAGCCCGCGCCCCCCTCCGGGTCCCCCGGGCAGGCACCGCCGCGGATATTTCGCGAGGGGGAGATCGATCGCACTGCCTGTCTGCAGCGGAAACGCACACGCTCACACACAGCCCGAGCCCGAGACACCATAACCTTAACCCTTCCCCCACCCTCCGTGAACTTCAGGTGACCGACCACGTCGGCCTGACACCCGGGCGGGCGGGCGCTCCGGCTCCGCTCCCGCCCCCAGCCCGGGTTTTGCAGGATCGGGATCCGAGCCGCGCCAAACCGCCGGGAGAGGGGAACAGTGCGGGGGGAGAACTTTAATACCCATACTTAGTATATTTTAACTTTGACACAGAACAGTTCTCCAGGGAAAGAAAAGTCCTTCCCCCACACATAAACAAACAAATAAACAAAGCTTAGCATTAAAATTGAGACTTAAGACTACAATTATATTCTACATTAAATACAAATTAACGCTAATTTTTTACCAAAATCAATATTTATTACATCTCCACACCACTCCCAAGTTTCTTCGACTCACTCAGCACTTAGCAAGCCTTGGGTTACTGGGACTGAATTGCAAAATACACCATTTGCCCAGAAATTGCTCCTAGTCCAAATGCAAATTGGTTACAAAACAGGCATAAAGCACGCTTAGAACAGGCAGCACACATCCAAAAAATCCATTCAATGCAAAGGTAAGTGGAAAAGCTTCACAAATTAAGGCTTCGCTTTAAAATCTAAAGGGACATTTAAGGTGCTTGCAAAGGTAAATGCTTCTTACTTCGGTAAAAGTGGCTTTCCGTGCCTGGAAGAGGGAGGTAATTTTTTTTTTTTTTTTTTAAGTGAGTGGATTACAGTATTCAATTAGAGAACAGGGTGGGAGAGCCCACTCTCAAAATATAACTTAATCACCAGGCACCAACGCGCAGAAGGGGCCCACCAAGCACGAGAGCTAAAATGGAGCCTGAATTTCCTCTCAGACGCAGAGGGTAGTTGCACGAGGTCAGGGTCAAGGTCACCAGCAGGGCAGGCTGCAGCTGCCCGACCGCACTACACACAAGGAGAGGCAAGGCGTTCCATCTCCGTCACAGCCGAAACAGATAAATCCCTTCTCCTCTCCCACCCTCCCTCTAACCCCGCCAACATTTTTTTTTTTTAAGCGGAGGGAGAAGAAAGGAAAATGACCAAATAACCTCACCGCCCTGGTTTTCGCACAGCAGCTCATCAGCTCCCAAAGTTGCCATCTAAGGGCAAGTTCGCAGAGAACACTGAAGCCCATTTTGTCCGAGCGGGGCAAGCCTCCCCCGTCCGCCCCAGGATTCCTGCCTCCTCTCCCTGCCCCCA